TGTGGTCGGTCAAAAGGACTTCCATGAATTTCCTGAACCCCTGCTCTGATCTGGGTGATTTTTGGATATGTTGGTCACCAAGATCAGGGCTAACAGGGGACATTTATGGGGATATGTTATGTTTTGGGGTACTTTTTCACAGGTTAGCCTAGCTGACATGGGATTACGGGACAACATCATCACATTCAATGGTAGCTCCCTGATAGGCCTTAGGTGTGGGAGTTTTCCAGACAGCTAGAGCATTATTTTCCACGGTGTCCCTTTTGTCCATAATATAGACATCTCCTGTACAATTTTTTTCTGCTTCAGACAGCTTAGCTATGCCTTACTGCATAGGTTCAGGAGGAGGTAAAGCAAGGTTTCAGTACCTGGTGATTTGATAGCAAGACAAGGATATAATCTCCTTTGCCTATCTCTGTGAGAACACCTATCCCTGAGATGCTTATCTATAGAAGGGAAATGGCATGAACAAAGCATTTCCCCAGTCCTGAATCTATAGTATATGCAATAACCAATTGTATATGTAAGAGCCCGTTAGTGGCGAAACGCGTGTCGGGATAGTTGTGTAGGATTTCGGGAAGATGCTGCAGCTTAACGTTTGATTATATTTATCAGCTACCTCATTCTTTGATTTTAAATTTATTGTTAGTTTTTTTTTATATTTTTATTCTTTATCGACATAGTCTAGTATAGTCAGGGGGAATTTTAGATTTCTGGGGTGCCCTCGAAGGTACATTAGCATTAGTCTATTTAGCTATATTAGCAGCTGCAGGGGTGCCCTCAAAGGCACAATAGGTATCTATTGCTCTGCTTTCTTTTCTGTATCCTCTTTGCTAAATTGTATCTAACATTAGATACTTTTGTTTCTCCCTGCCTATTTTCCTCCAAACTTGACATATGTTCGGTAGCTATATTGTTACTATTTTTATGTGGCAATATAGACTCTACACCCTGTTCCAAATTATTATGCAAATTATATTTTTCTCATTTACCTAAATAATTGATGTAAATAACAGTCAGCATAATTCTCATGTTATCAACTATTAAGAGTACAATTCAAATTTTATTGAACAAACCTCCTAATGATAACTATTTTTTTTAAACATAAAAAACTTACAATGCACTGTTCCAAATTATTACGCACAGTAAGTTTCAAAATACTTTATAGTTTGTAAAGAACTGAAAATTGTAATTTGTTGTGTTTGCAGCACATTTACTGAAATCAAAAGCTATTTTAATCAAACTTATAACAACATTTTAACTTTTTAAACATTTTAACAGGTCACGTTACATTTTAACGTAGGACACCTTATTTGATAGCAGCTTCACAAGTCTTGCATCCATTGAACTTGTGAGTTTTTGGACAGTTTCTGCTTGAATTTGTTTGCAAGATGTCAGAATAGCCTCACAGAGCTGCTGTTTGGATGTAAACTGCCTCCCACCCTCATAGATCTTTTGCTTGAGGATGCTCCAAAGGTTCTCAATAGGATTGAGGTCAGGGGAGGATGGAGGCCACACCATGACTTTCTCTCCTTTTATCCCCATAGCAGCCATTGATGCAGAGGTATTCTTTGCAGCATGAGATGGTGCACTGTCATGCATGAAAATGATTTTACTACGGAAAGCATAGTTCTTCCTTCTGTACCAGGGAAGAAAGTGGTCAGTCAGAAACTTTTCAGAGGTCATCTTTACACCTTCGGTATCCCTAAAGGGGCCGACCAGCTCTCTTTCCATGATTCCGGCCCAAAACATGACTCCACCACCGCCTTGCTGACGTCGCAGCCTTGTTGGAACAGGGTGGCCGTCCACCAACCATCCATCTGGACCATCCAGGGTTGCATGGCACTCATCAGTGAACAGGACTGTTTGAAAATTAGTCTTCATGTATTTTTCTGCCCAATGCAGCTGTTTCTGCTTGTAAGCATTGGTTAGTGGTGGCCGAATAGAAGGTTTAGGCACAGTTGCAAGACTCTGGAAGACTCCACACCTTGATGTCCGTGGGACTCCAGAGGCACCAGCAGCTTCAAATATCTGTTTGCTGCTATGTAATGGTATTTTAGCAGCTGCTCTCTTGATCCAATGCATGGATCTGGCAGAAATCTTCCTCAATGTGCCTTTATCTGCACGAACCCGTCTGTGCTCTGAATCAGCCACAAATTTCTTAATAGTGCGATGATCACGCTTACGTTTTCGTGAAATATCTAATGTTTTCATACCTCGCCCAAGGCATTGAACTATTTCACTCTTTTCGGTAGCAGAGAGATCCTTTTTCTTCCCCAAATTGCATGAAAATGGTGCTCTGCTTAATAATGTGGAACACCCTCCTTTAGTAGTTTTTCCTTAAATTGTGCTCACCTGGCAATTTAATTATCACAGGTGTCTGAGATTGTTTTCAGTGATCAAAAGAGCCCTGAGACACAATGCCATCCATGAGTTAAACTGAAAAACTAAATATTTAATCTTTGTGACACTTAAATAGAATTTGCATAATAATTTGGAACAGGGTGTACACATTATACATATTTTTTTTAACTTTACAATAGATAGGTTCTTTATTTTTATATATTACTTTTTTGATTACTATTTTAATTAATCAATAAATGTTAAGTTTTATTTCACTTTATTTTGCTTAATATCAATGAGTTGCTTTCTTTCATGAAAAAAAAACAATCAGGTTGGAACTTTATTTAGGTCCACTTTTCTTTTTTGAGTGGTACTAATTTTTGTTCTGGTATAATCAAGGTGCCTAGGCAAGTACCTGGTAGCTATCTTGTCTAGAATGTTATTCGATAAACTCTTTTGAAAGCAGTCACACAGAAGTAATTATTCCAACCAACCACAAAGTCTGAGGTCCTGAATTCTTTAGCAGTCAGAAACCGTACAAGAACCCTATTTTATTCTCATAAGAGCCTCCCTGCAGAACTAACTTGGCCTGGTAAATCTGGCTGTGTCTGAACTCACAGCTCCAGCAACCCAGTCAGGTTCTCTGCCATGACATCCACCAGGGAGCTTCTGTGTTAGTTTCCATTTTTCTGCAAACTGACCCTTTGCCTGGATTAAGCAGCACTGAACCACCTGCAACCATTTTCCAATTTGGGTCAGCTGCATCTAATTAGCAGGATGTAAAAGCCAGCCCTGCCTGCAAGCTAGTATCTGGTCATTTTGCCTGTTTGGTGTTTCCTGACGAATCTTTGATTTGCTACTGACTGATTTCCTGGACTCTGACCTCTGCCTGCTTTACCAACTACGTTACTCCACTGCCAGCCCTGACTTCTGCTTCTCGTCTTACCCTGCCTTTGGATTACCCCTTTATCTGTACTGTGTTTTTGGATTTTGTCTCCTCCTTGTGCCATCTCCTGCAACTGGGCTCCAACTCCTGGTAAACTGTTCCATAAGTCCCCAGGTGACTGTTACATAATGACCAGATCAACTACCATGGAGCCCGCGGAGATGATGAATGTCCTGAGTACCCTCACACAGCAAGTGACCCTCCTGTCCCAAACTGTAAGTGAATTGCAGTGTGATTTTGCTGAGTTAAAGGGGAACACTCACCATGCTCCTGATCCTGATATTGCATTACCTGACAAGTTCACTGGGAAAAGGACTGAATTGCGATCATTTATCGCAGCCTGCGAACTGCTCTTCACTTTAAAACCACGCACATTCCCCAATGATTATGTGAAGGTTCGCACTACTATTGCCCTGCTGTCGGGTAAACCCCAAACCTGGGCACACCAACTCCTGCACTCAAAGAGTCCAATACTGGACTCATGGTACTCCTTTGCTGCAGCAATGCATACATTATACAATGGCACCCTGAGACCTTCTGCTGCACGCACTGCCCTCCATTCCCTCCGGCAAAGGAGAAGACCAGTGGAGGATTATACTACAGATTTCCGGGAGCTAGCTGCTGACACCGGTTATAATGAGACTGATTTAATAGAGCAATACAGATTGGGTCTGTCTGAGGCATTAAAAGATGAACTAGCCAGAGTTGGGGTACCCACTTCATTGGAAAATCTGTTCCTTCTGGTCACCCAGCTATATCGCTGGTTCAGAGAAAGAAAGCAGGAGCAATTTGAAACCAGCTTTTTGCCCCATCAACGTTCCAAACCTGCTGGTGAGACCTATACCCCTATCCCCCCCATGGACATAGAGGAACCCATGCAAATTGGAACACTGAATAAAAAAAAACATGCTCACAGTAAATTAAAAAGCCAGAAGGAGAGCCAAAAGCCTTTGCTTCTATTGCGGCAAGGGAGGCCACTATATCAGCTATTGCCAGATATGTCCTCCTCGTCCTAAACACAGCCATGTGGGGTCTCTGTGTCACCATCCAGCAAGTCCTCCATGGCAGCCTATGAAACACCTTTGTTGCTGTGGTACAACCCTGCATGCTAATGGACCAAAAAGACCACCTAACCAGACCAATGGCACCAACACAGCCCTGGCTAACCCTGCTCCTGTTCCAGAGCCTCAAAAGGAGGCTGCTGTGGCTACCTTCAAATCCTCAGCTTCTGTCTCCAGTAAAGTTTCCTGCTCTAACACAGAGGATCTGTCACCAGACTGTGTAATTGCCTCCAATCGAACCGTGGTCCGCAGGCAAGATCTAAAGGTCTTTGAGCAGGCTCTTAAGGCCAGAGCTGCATCCCCTTCTCGACTCTTTGCCTCCACTGCCTTCTGCAAAATTTTCAAACCTTCTCAGAACCTGATGATTCAGATGCCTAGATCCTGTAGTTGAAGCCCTGTCTGTTGGCGCCCAGAGGTCACCCCTTGTGGGGGGGGTAGCTCTGTCACTTCACAGCCCAAGCCGTGCAGACCGCAGACCACAAGGCATGGCCGCCCATTTAAGAGACCTGGCTGGGTTTGAACTCACAGCTCCAGCATCCCAGTCAGGTTCTCTGCCATGACATCCACCAGGGTGCTTCAGTTTCTGTTTGTACTTTTTCTGCTTCATGACCCTTTGCCTGGATTAAGCAGCACTGGTCCACCTGCAACCCTTTCCAATTAGGGTCAGCTGCATCTAACTAGCAGGCTGTAAAAGCCAGCCCTGCCTGAAAGCTAGTATCTGGTCATTTTGCCTGTTTGGTGTTTCCTGACGGATCTTTGCTACACTACTGACTGATTTCCTGGACTCTGACCTCTGCCTGCTTTACTGACTACGTTACTCCTCTGCCAGCCCTGACTTGTGCTTCTCGTCTGATCCTGCCTTTGGATTACCCCTTTATCTGTACTGTGTTTTTGGATTTTGTCTCCTCCTTGTGCCATCTCCTGCAACTGGGCTCCAACTCCTGGTAAACTGTTCCATAAGTCCCCAGGTGACTGTTACACCAAGCAAGTGCTCTGTCAGTCAGATGATTTTTTAGAACCTTATTTTTGCTCTATTCATGGGGTAAGAACGAGGTCGAGGTTAAGAAAACCACGACAAAGCATAGGATGCCCATTTTACCTTTAAGGGGTAATCTTAACAGGAGAGGTAGAAGGACTAGGCAAAGGCGCAGTCGAGCTAATATGGTTTGCAAGGTTTGAGCTAATTGATCCATGCAATGATAGAAGTTGTCAATCCTAGCACTGCAAATCGCCATTTGTTTTGTAAGGTCTGTAGATTCCATAAAGGCTCTGTTGTAATGTCAGGATTGGGGTAGGAACCAATGGACACTATAGTGTTAGGAATGCAGTTTTGTATTTCTCACACTATAGTGTTCTTTAACACATAAGGATTTTGGGAAAACCATTTAGTCTGTGAATACATATGTGTATGTTTGTCAGTTTTTGTATTGAATTTACATGTATTTTAGATGTTTAGACTAGATGCGCCCCCACAGAATTTATTCTTACCTCATGGCTCCTGTACACACACTGCATGTCATGTAGAAGACAATATAGAAAATAATAAGGCACAGGAGAAGTTGGGTGCAGACAACCTGTAATAATAAAACAGAAATAACAAAAACTAATTAGGAAGTCATTCTGAAATGTAAAAAGCAGCTGATATAAAACAATGTTACTAATAATCCAATAAAACTAATATAAACGAAAAGTACTGCCAGTGCTGAATAAATATCAATATAGACCAAACATTTGTAAAATAGGTCAATATTTGGTGCTTTTTAGACCTCTCCCTATAACTCCCTTTATCTTTATACACTGCTCAAAAAAATAAAAGGAACACTTAAACAACACAATGTAACTCCAAGTCAATCACACTTCTGTGAAATCAAACTGTCCACTTAGGAAGCAACACTGAGTGACAATCAATTTCACATGCTGTTGTGCAAATGGGATAGACAACAGGTGGAAACTAGAAAAGTTAAAATTTCTGGGGAAATTGTGTGAAGTGTTCTTGCCTCCACCAGTAGTCTACAACTGGAGTGGGCGGAGTAACTGTTATTATTTATATAGCACATTTAATTGCAACGATGTTGCACAGTTACATTAAACCATACATTTATAAAAACATTAGCAGGTGTTCAAAAGGCCCTGTCTATGACATCACTTGCTGCTGCAGCCTGACACAGGTCAGAGTATTTTGGCAGTTGCCATCTTCAAACGATCGTATTTTAAAAACTATAAATCCTACAGCGAAGAACTTTATATTGTGGGAATCATTAAGAATGAAGGCACAGTCGCAGTTTAGAAATTGCCCTTCAAGTTTGAGCTGGCTTGAGTGAAGTTTCAATGAATGTCAATGGAAGGCGTGAGTTGCAAACAAATGGTCATATTGTGAAATCTATCAGGACTATGGCTTAGCCGTGGACATTTCTAGTGGCAGCATGGATAGCTGAACGTTTTGATATAAGATTTGTGTAGGTGGGCCTGAAAATAAGGGAGTGGTGGCAGTTTAGAAATCATGTCCTGATTTTTCAGCTTTTGCCAGCTCCCACTCTAGCTTTGCTATTCATTCCTATGGGACAAATCTCGCCACAAGATATTCCGTGAACCATTCGGCGAAACGTTCCACAAAGTAATAGCAATCCGATCGGGAACAATCTGCACGTTTTGGTTTATGTAGTGTAAAAACTGTGGGAGGAGTTAGGGTGGCAAATTTGGCTATAATAAGAATAAGAATAATGATAATATATATGTGAGATAACAATAAGTGGTCTTGCTATGCAAGAACACTTAATAATATATATGTGAGATAACATTAAGTGGTCTTGCTATGCAAGAACACATAAATTATTATTAAGTGTTCTTGCATAGCAAGACCACTTAATGTTATCTCACATATAAATTATTATTAAATGTGAGATAACATTAAGTGGTCTTGCTATGCAAGAACACTTAATTATAGGCAATTAGCAAGACACCCCCCGTAAAGGAGTGGTTCTGCAGGTGGTGACCACAGACCACTTCTCAGTTCCTGGCTGATGTTTTGGTCACTTTTGAATGCTGGCGGTGCTTTCACTCTAGTGGTAGCATGAAACGGAGTCTACAACCCACACAAGTGGCTCAGGTAGTGCAGTTCATCCAGGATGGCACATCAATACGAGCTGTGGCAAGGTTTGCTGTGTCTGTCAGCGTACTGTCCAGAGCATGGAGGCTCTACCAGGAGACTCGCCAGTACATCAGGAGATGTGGAGGAGGTTGTAGGAGGGCAACAACCCAGCAGCAGGACCGCTACTTCCGCCTTTGTGCAAGAAGGAACAGGAGGAGCACTGCCAGAGCCCTGCAAAATGACCTCCAGCAAGCCACAAATGTGCATGTGTCTGCTCAAACGGTCAGAAACAGACTCCATGGGGGTAGTATGAGGGCCTGATGTCCACAGGTGGGGGTTGTGCTTACAGCCCAACACCGTGCAGGACGTTTGGCATTTGCTAGAGAACACCAAGATTGGCAAATTCACCACTGGCGCCCTGTGCTCTTCACAGATGAAAGCAGGTTTACACTGAGCAAACGTGACAGTCTGGAGAAACCGTGGAGAACGTTCTGCTGCCTGCAACATCCTCCAGCATGACCGGTTTGGCAGTGGGTCAGTAATGGTGTGGGGTAACATTTCTTTGTGGGGCCACACAGCCCTCCATGTGCTCGCCAGAGGTAGCCTGACTGCCATTAGGTACCGAGATGAGATCCTCAGACCCCTTGTGAGACCATATGCTGGTGTGGTTGGCCCTGGGTTCCTCCTAATGCAAGACAATGCTAGACCTCATGTGGCTGGAGTGTGTCAGCAGTTCCTGCAAGATGAAGGCATTGATGCTATGGACTGGCCCGCCCATTCCCCAGACCTGAGTCCAATTGAGCACATCTGGGACATCATGTCTCGCTCCATCCACCAATGTCATGTTGCACCACAGACTGTCCAGGAGTTGGCAGATGCTTTAGTCCAGGTCTGGGAGGAGATCCCTCAGGAGACCATCCGCCACCTCATCAGGAGCATGCACAGGCATTGTAGGAAGGTCATACAGGCACGTGGAGGCCACACACACTACTGAGCCTCATTTTGACTTGTTTTAAGGACATTACATCAAAGTTGGATCAGCCTGTAGTGTGTTTTTCCACTTTAATTTTGAGTGTGACTCCAAATCCAGACCTCCATGGGTTGAAAAATTTGATTTCCATTTTTAAATTTTTGTGTGATTTTGTTGTCAGCACATTCAACTATGTAAAGAACAAAGTATTTCAGAAGAATATTTAATTCATTCAGATCTAGGATGTGTTATTTTTGTGTTCCCTTTATTTTTTTGAGCAGTGTATATAACCTTTCACTATAACTCCTGCTTTCTATAGATATAACCTCTCTATATCTCTCTCACCCACCCTTATAATCACGGTCTATGAATCCTTTTCTCTTTCATATATTTTTTTTTTAGAGAGAGAGAGGCAGATAGGCCTATAACATTTAACCCCAGGGGGCGTATGTGTAGTATGTGTTGTAGGCAACACAAACCAAAGTTTAGTTATTGGCCCCTGGGGTGGAGCATTTGGAGAGCAGGGTGGGCCAATGCTCCACTCCGCAGTTTGCATACAACTGGGAGAAATAAGTTCCAGGCCAGAGTTTTGATCTGTCTCCAACCCACTGCTCAGCTGCAGATAATGAGCTGCAGCAGTGGGAATAAACCCCTTCCTGCTAGGCAGGTAAAGGGGGGGATTGCTGGCTTCCTCCCTAGAAGCAGGTAGGAGAGACGCTGTTCTCTCCTGTGAGAGAGTTATGACTGGCTTGGAGCACTGAGTGTGCAAAAGGGAAAGCAGTTAAGGCTGGCTTGGAGCACTGGGAGTGCAGAAAGGAAAGCAGCAGGCTAGCTGAGAGCACTGGAGTGCGAAAAGAGAGAGAATTTTTGTTTCTTTTTAGAAGGAATGGAAGCCACATGCTAACTGAGTGTGGGGTGCAGAGATCTGACATAGGCACTAAGTTGGTGAAACCAATTTTTGTTCTGTTATAGTTTAACCCCTTAAGGACCAAACTTCTGGAATAAAAGGGAATCATGACATGTCACACATGTCATGTGTCCTTAAGGGGTTAAACCCTTGAGAGATAGGGAATTTGATGTAAGTTAGTGCTCAGACCAAGCTAGGTTTTTGTTTATAGGGATTTGTGTTATTGTTGTGTTTTTTTTTCTTTTCATTTGCTGCTGTATCTGTGGTGGAGTTTAAAGGACCACTCTAGGCACCCAGACCACTTCAGCTTAATGAAGTGCTCTGGGTGCCAGGGCCTTCTAGGGTTAACCCATTGTTTTATAAACATAGCAGTTTCAGAGAAACTGCTATGTTTATCAATGGGTTAAGCCTTCCCCCAAAGCCTCTAGCGGCTGTCTAATTGACAGCCGCTAGAGGCGCTTGCGTGATTCTCACTGTGAAAATCACAGTGAGAGCACGCAAGCGTCCATAGGAAAGCATTATGAATGCTTTCCTATCCGACCGGCTGAATGCGCGCGAGGAGGAGAGGAGGCAGAGAGCTCCCCACCCAGCGGAAAAAGGTAAGGTGTGTGTGTGTGTGTGTGGTTTGTTTTTTTTGTTTTTTTTTTTTGTTTGTTTTTTTTCCTTCCAGAACTGGGCGGGAGGGGGACCCTGAGGGTGGGGGCACCCTCAGGGCACTATAGTGCCAGGAAAACGAGTGTTTTCCTGGAACTTTAGTGGTCCTTTAACAATAAAGTGCCTGGAATTAAGTTGCCTTAAAAGACTGTGCATGTTTGTGCCCAAGAGGACCGTGCTATCTGCAGACAATAGGACTCCTGTCCTATTGTGTTTTACACCCCCACCTCCTATAGAATGTAAGCTTGTATGAGCAGGGTCCTCTCCAACCTATCGTTCCTGTAAGTTTTTTGTAATTGTCCTATTTATAGTTAAATCCCCCTTTCATAACATTGTAAAGCGCTACAGAATCTGTTGGTCCTATATAAATGGCAATAATAATAATAATATATATATATAATACATGCACATATAAATACACACCATTGCTGCTCTCTTCTCTCTTGTGCCTAAGGTTCTTGCTGTGACCAAGAGGATTATAGGATATACTGAAAATCAGATTATGTTATTAGCTAATAAATAGTGACAGCATGGTATAGAAACCAACTGTCACGTAAACAGACAAAATTGAGGTGCACAAAACAGATTTCAGTTTTTCCGTACACCTTTTGAAGATGTTCTGATTAATCCAAGATATGCTACATTTTCATTAAACATATATTCAAATCTCTGATTATATTTACCTTGGACATGGTAGTTATTATATCATGGTGTTGACCACATATAGTCTTGCTGTAAATACAGATGGTCCTTGTTTTCTGATTTTTATAGTGAAAAGTATGGACTGTGGTCCACAAAAAGACAATTGCAAGAAAAGTGAGTTAAATGCATTTAGTAATTGGGCTTTGCAGACATTAAAAAACATCTAAAAACTTATTCAAATTTGACAACTGCATATGTATATATGTACATTGACCAGCCACAACATTAAAACCACTTGCTTAATATTGTGTCGGTCCTCCTTGTGCTGCCAAATCAGCTCTGATGTGTCGAAGCATGTGTAACGGATCACCTGGCACCCCGACTGGGTACCTCCGTTGAAGGATGCTCATAGCGCTTCCTGAGGACTCCAAGCACTGCAGCAGTCACCACAACCACCGAACCAGAGAAGCATACGAATGCTCTCATGCATATGAATGCTGTAAACAGCTGAACAATCAGCTTACTCTCCTGGCAATCAGCATACAATCCAATTCCCTCAATAACAAGACGACACTTCGTTTTGAGGTCAAGCAGAACTGACTGTACTGGCACATACAGCCTCTTTTATTCACAATCCACAAACATAGTACTGCCCACAGGGTTTTGAAATACAACCAGTCAATCCGTACAATACACACAGACACTCCCACACAAAATCCTCCCCTCTGCCTGTGATATGATTACTGAAAACAATGGTTAATATCACAGGCAGAGAAATACAGTATTCTAAAACATATCACAGGGACCCCAAAACATGCAATAACCCCATCCTCGGAACCGGGGGATCTGGGTGAACCACATATCCAAAATTCACCCAGATCCGTTCAGTAGTTTTGAAGATACAGTTTAATGCAGATTCCACAGAACATTTACAGGCTACCGTGTTTCTCCGAAAATAAGACCGGGTCTTATATTAATTTTAGTCACAAAAAACACACTAGGGCTTATTTTCAGGGTAGGGCTTAGAGCCAGTCTGTCAGCCGGTGTCCGCGCTGTGTAACCCCCCCAGAGACCCTAACCTCCCCCTCCCTGTAATATTCTCCCCTCCCTCCCTCCCTCCCTGTAATATTATCCTCCCTCCCTGTAATATTCTCCCCTCCCTCCCTGTAATACTCTCCACCTCCCTCCCAGTAATATTATCCCCCCCCTCCCTCCCTGTAATATTATCCCTCCCTGTAATATTATCCCCCCTCCCTCCAATATTATCCTCCCTCCCTCCCCTGTAATACCCCCTCCAATCTTCTCCTCACCTCCCCCTGTAGCGTGGCCGAGCTCCTCTCCGGTCCGCGACCCGGCCGGACTGACAGGAAGTGCACACCCAGTGTGCACTTCCTGTCAGCCCGGGCGGGTCGCGGACCTGAGAGGAGCTCGACCACGCTACAGGGGAGGTGAGGCAGTGCGGCAGCCGTCTGAGCGCTCTCTATAGAGCGCTCAGGCGGCTGAGGCATTTAAAGGGCCGGCCCTGCCTAGATCTTATTTTCGGGGTAGGGCTTATATTGCAGCCCACCCCGATAATCCAGCTAGGGCTTATTTTCGGGGTAGGTCTTATTTTCGGGGAAACACGGTATATGAAAAATATAGCCTGTATAATGTTTCCCCTGTTGTATAGTTTAAAAC